GGGGGGGGGGGGGGTACTGCTGGTTAGATGCCATCAGAAATTGGTACTTCAAAACAATTAACCAAATGCTCTGTTTGGAAAGGGCCTCAGGCTGGAGTTGGCAAATAATGTAGGGGACAGCTAATTATTGCATGGCCAAAGCCAAGTTCTCGTTAATGTTGTGGAATTTAATCTCCTATCATGCATCTTCGTCCTACTGGAATGTACTCTGCTAGTCTGCTTTGTAATTGAAAAATTGATACTTCACAAAATTTGGGATTTTTTCTTGGACTATCAGTAATTTTTTACTTATAGATCTATTCAGATATTTTCCCAAGCTGAAAGGAGATAATACTATTGACTCTATTGTCCATTAAGTATTTAGATTTCACATAAACAATTGAGGTCTCATGTTCCAGTTGTCTTTTACTTGTGTATGTGTATAGGAAGTATTGTCAGATGTGCCAATGAATGATCGAAACAGCACGAGCCACATTGCTGCCCAAGGGAAGGTCAGAAACGTACGGGTTTCCCATAAGGTACTGTCTCACTCAGTATGGTTAGCAATTAGAACTCTTCACATCCTCTTTTTTTCTTTTTATTTTGGATACATTCTTTGTGTTCTTATTTATCATTAGTGTTCTTTTCTTGTGATGCAGATTGGAAACCCTATGAACTATCATATACTAAAGGAAACCATAATAAACATTCAGAAATCTTTCAAGCAAGGGGAAAATATTCCCTTGTCAATCGTTGTGATATCTGATAGAGAGTGGCTCCTTGGAGGTAAATAACATATGGTAATTCATTTAGCTGAAAGTAGCACTGGATTAATTATTCTATTTTCAGATCCATCAAGGGCAGACAAGCATTCTGCATATTCTCTTCTTCTTGCTGAAAATATTTGCAACAAGCTTGGGGTGAAGGTGAGTTTAAGTCGTTGATTATCATCTTGAAAAATATCACTTTATTTTTATAATTTATGGAGCCACCTTTTGAATCACGTGAAACAGAATTAACAGGTGTTAGTGTAAGTGATTATATTTTTGTAAGGTTAATAAAATTTGCCAGTGGGTGGATTTCAGGTTCAAAATCTAGTTGCGGAGATTGTTGACTCGAAATTGGGCAAACAAGTAACTCTTTTACTGTAGACTAGTTTCTGTATTAACATGTTTATCCCTTCATGATTATTGGCCTGAAATGATTATTCACTGTATGTCGCTCAGATAACAAGATTCAAGCCATCCCTCACTTACATTGCTGCAGAGGAAGTGATGAGTCTTGTCACAGCTCAAGGTTATAAACTATTCGACTTTCTTGTTCTCTTCGTGTTTCCGTTATGGAGGTTTCCAACTTTTTTAGTAAAAACCCCTGTTTGGCATGATAGTGGCGGAGAACAATGAATTGAGCGAGGTCTGGAAAGACCTCCTGAATGCAGAGGGGGACGAAATATATGTCAAGGTAATAAACACTCTTTGTTGTGCATCATACTGTTTTTTAACATTCAGCTACATAAATGGTTGAGGATGAGATTCTATAAAATATAAATAGATGACTAAAATGGATGAAGAGATGGCCAAGGAGGAGAACATGGGCAGTCACCATCTGAGAGGTTTGGGATTTTTTGGTGTTAACTTAAAATGGGTCTTCTCCTGTTTCTTGGGCAATCAAACGTTGAAATTGAACATGTTACTGAGCATATTTTTTGTTGCTCTTATTGCACTGAAGAAGCGGGACTATGATTGTCTCTTTACCTTTCAATGGAATGGTGAATTATTTCTCAGACCATGCTGTGTTAATAATCTAGATATTATTAGATTACAGAGCACCCACAACAGAATACAGATTTTGGATCTGCCTTTTGATAATTTGGATACACTTATCAACCAAAGCAACAGAATGAAGAAATAAAGACCTCTTTTTCTGTGATTCTTCAATTTATGGGTTGTGGCTCACAAATCATTTTCATTTTAAATTGTACGTGAAAAGAAGCTTGGAACTCTATGCGTATAATCCATGATTTGTTGGTCATCATGCTTGATCACCATTACTCCTCATACCCTACATGGCCACTTCTATTTTCTAGACTGAGAATTGCTGAAATTCTTTGGAGCATGCATGAAGATGTAGCCATCATTTTTCGTAAGTGTAATATGATATATATATACCTTTAAGCTTGTGTTTTAACCATTCTGGGTGCATTCATAGACTAACAAACTTCACCGGTGATCCCCAGGTGTTCTAGTCCTATATTTTACCAACTGTCAATTCGTTAACTTGCTTCTGTTCTCTGACAGGATATTAGTCTCTACATGAAGGAGGGGGAGAATCCATCATTCGCTGAGCTCTCTGAAAGAGCACATCTACGGAGAGAAGTTGTCATCGGTTATTTGAAAAACAACAAGAAGGTACACCACTTCGATTTAGGTGTTGGACTGAAACTATTTGAAATAGCTCTCTCTCTCTCATACCTTATTTTCTTTGCAGGTTATAAACCCAATTCCCAAATATGAGCCCCTTGGTCTTGATATGACAGACTCCTTGATTGTAATTTCCGAGCTCGAAGGAGAACAGCCTGTGATTATGCAAAATGCAATTTAGTTTTCAATTATGATTGCACCTTGTTTTTTTTTCCATTTCAAGAGCATCACTGTTGTCATCTCACACACATCCAACAAAATTCTAGGATGTGAAAAACTGTGAATGACTAAGAGTCCTGTGGTGAGGGAATTGTCCTTCTTAGGTATAAACCGTAGCAAAGCTGCATTTTTTTCTTCTGGAACTGTTGGCTTCTTTAACATTTGTTTGTTAATTTGTGCATAATTTAAGTATAGATGGTCAAGAGTTTTGCAGTTGGCTTAATGACCACCGCCCTTCCTATTGGACGCTAAGGTCACGAGTTTGAATCCTGTCTTCCCCTCTCCTCTAATAGTGTCTGAGTCGAGCATTATGTTGAAGCACTACTGAGGTGGTAGTCTAGTTGACTTTAGTAGACGGTGAAAGTCCCGCTCTCCTCTAGTGGTCATGAGTTTGAACTCGTTTGTAGTAGTAGTTTCTTGTGAACTAGATATTGATGAAGGGACTGAATATCCCTAGTTGGCTTGCAGTAGAGGGTAAAAGTTTTGCTCTTTTTCAGTGGTCATGAGTTTGAATCTGCTTTTGGTAGTAGTTCATGTGAATCATATATTGCTGAAGGAGCTGAATATTCAGCTTGCCATTAGAGTGGTGTTGTGGATGAGTTTGAATCCGATTGCAATAATAGTTTATGTGAACCAGATATCGGTGAAGGGACTGAATATCTAGCTTGTCATTGGTGGTGTTGTGGTGACGGACTTTACTATTCTAGGTAAGTAGTTGCAGTTCAAATCGAATATTTTACGACGGATGGGAATCTTGAGATAACGTCTGATCGTCTTTGAACACTTTTTTAAATGGCGAAAAAAAGAAGGGGAGAGAGAGAATATGTTGAAGTAGTTTGGAGCATGGTCAGATCTAATTGGATATAACTTCAACAATGATACCAATTGATACACACCCTTATGAATTCTCAATGGAGGCTTACCTGGGTACTGTTCTTTTTATTTTTTTATTTTTTTGGGGTAGAAACTGGTTAATTAATAACTAATAAAGATGTAAAGTTAAAATTTTAAGCAAAGTAATCCACCTCTTAATATTGACTATCGCTAACACGGTAAGAGCAAATGTGTTTTGGATTAAATACTTGCACGTAGTAATAATTTTTTTGAAACTTGAATACTTTCTCAACGTAGCATGATAAGATTAGAGTGCGACTAGTAGCAAGCTTTTAAAAATTTTTATTTTTCCGATTGAGGTTCTTAAAAACTTTCTTTTCATCTATCCCATTGATTTGTCCTCTTTTTATACAATTTCAAAGTTTTTTCCATCGAAGTCCAACTTAAATACATCGTTAAGCCCCACTCGTTATTTAAAATAAGAGTAATGTTATATGAATTTAAAAATTAAATTTTATAATTATAATTATTGAATAGTTAGTGGGTCTCAATAAAATGTTGAAATTCGATTGTAATTAAATCTAATTTTTCAAATTTTTTTTTTTTAATTTTTGAGTAACCAGTCAAAATTTAATGTCGGTGAAATGCTTACAAAATCTTTATATATAGAGACGTTAACTCATTTTCTATTTTACGGGTCAAACTTAACATTCTTTTTACCTATAATAACTATAAATTTAATAAAATTAAAAAAACTAAAAAGCACAGACATTATTCCATCACACTGGCAAAAGCCACTGAGCAAACAAGGTTTGAATTTCCAATATTACGTATAAAAAATAAAAAACAAAAAAAAAATACTAAAAAAAAAACGTAAAAAAACAAACACCCTAAGACGTTGCCGTTTCGAGACAACCTTCTTCGCAAAATCACCGGCGCAGCGGGAGAGAGAGAGAGAGAGAGAGAGAGAGAGAGAGAGAGACTCCATGGAAGCTCACACACGGTTGATTCAGTTCTTCTCAGTATTATTATTATTATTTGTATTTTCGGACATTTTCATCTACAAATCTTTGGCCGAGAGCGTCACTCCTGAGGAAGCTAAACAGCTCAGGGATGAGGTAAATTTTCGACACACACACACACTAACCGTGATTAGCTATGAGTTTGATTCACGGTGGATCTTTCTTCAATCTGAGGGTTTCCCGTTGATTTCACTCTCTGTAGATATATACAATCTTGATATGATCGGTCATGGAAGATAAGGAAATAGGAAATTAAAAACAGTTTTGTCTCAATTTTTTCGAATGATCTAAATAAAAGCTTAAAAGTTTTTCATTTGTAAGAAACTTGATTTCTTTTTGGCATATAATGTAGGTGCGAGAGATGCTTTATCATGCATTTGATGGATATATGAATCACGCTTTTCCTCGCGATGAGTTGAAACCTTTATCATGTGAGGGAGAAGATACACTTGGGGGTTATGCGCTAACATTGGTAAATATCAATTTAATTTTGTTTTGTAAATTTTTGAAATTTGCTTATCTTTTTTGGATATCAAGCCCTTACTGAATTCTGCTGTTGTGCAGATTGATTCCTTAGACACTTTAGCTTTGCTTGGTGACCGGGAGCGGTTCACCTCATCTGTTGAATGGATTGGTAAAAATCTTCGATTTGATATTGTGAGTATGGTCATTCTACTATTTGACAAAGTGAAACTTCAGTCAGTTAGTCTATTTGAATAGTTATTGTTCTATCGGTGACATCCGAAAAAATTGGAACAAAGAGGAATCTAGAGATGCATGCATAGAATTGTCCTATGTATGCCATTGATGTGAAATAATTTAGTTGTTGCTTTTTATATTGTGATGCAATTGAGCTGGATTTATCCTTTTGTGTTGAGTTAATTTTGGACTCTATTAGCCAGTTAAAAATTGTCTGACATATAGATTTAGTTACTGCAAGCTAACTTGTCAAACTAAGATTTGGAACTTGTATCACATGTGCAGAACAAAACAGTGTCTGTGTTTGAAACTACTATCCGGATCCTTGGAGGTTTACTTTCTGCTCATCTTATTGCAAGCGATTATGCTACGGTATTTTTCACTTGAATCTACCTTTTTTTTCATAATTAGTCTTCTCATTTTCCAAAATGCACGGAATGACACTATTTTGATGGTATTGAAAAAAAGAAAAAATGTTCTGACTTTTTTAACTGCAAAAAGTAGGACGTATTTGTTACATTAGCTACCAAGCTACACTTACATAACCACACATGCAGAAATTTATATGGGAAAAAGTACTTATTCAGAGCATATTAATCAATTAATTGTGTACCTTGGTGCACCTTTGTATATCATCATTGAGTTTAAGTGCATAAGTTCAAGTTGTGCACATTGGTTGAGTTAGTCGAGTAAGTCATTTGGGTTAGTTGAGTATATCATTTCGTTTGATAATAAACCTCAGATAATTTTTTGTTTCCCCGTGAGAATGAAGGAACCTATACTACCTCTTAATAAATCATAAGCCTCCAGGTTCAGGTCAAGCTTATGCACTAACCAGTTAGCTAAAAATTGAAGAAGTAAGTATATATGGTTAATTTGTAGCAAAAGTTACACGACGATAGGTAGTTTTCAATAGGAAGACCAAACTTTTTTCACCCTTTTTCCTTTTTATCTTTAGAGTTCCTGTATTTAGACCATATTCTCCAGTTCAGTTCATTGCAATCCTTTGATATCTGCAACTGTAGGGAATGAGAGTTCCCTCCTATGATGATGAACTGCTTCACTTAGCCGAGGATCTTGCCCGGAGATTGTTACCTGCCTTTGATACTCCTACAGGTATGTTCAGTTATTGTTGCACATAGTAATGTATAAATCTTGTTTTAAATTTCTATTTTCCACATGTCTGCATAGGTCATGAGAATTTTTTTTCCCTTGAACAATTAAGATGTTTCTGCCTGGTGATTTTTGGAAACTTAATGGTTCTAATTGTTCATATCTTCGTGGTAACAAATTCATCTTATCCACCAATGGATTAAAACAATCCGATCAGATAGTTATGAAGTATATATTGGCCCGATGACGATAAATCTGTAATCCGGAAGGAGTCTTAGTTTCTGCGGATCAGAGTTGCCCATAGACTGCAATTTTAATTGCCTGAATTTCTTACAAATTCATTGTTGAAGATTTGCATTGCATACCATATTAGGTTGCTGAGATATATTCATCAGCTGTATTGTGAAGCTTGATATTTTGAAAGCATTTTGTATCTCAACTTGCCTCGTACATGTGGTGATCAACTTTTTTCTGGAAATTGTTTGGACAATAGGAGTTCAATATCTGATGGCTTATGAAATGGATAATTCAATCAATATGATCTTTAGTTCAAACATTCAACGCTGAATCCTTCATCTATCATGTCATGACCTTTCTAAGCTATTGATGCTGCAGGAATTCCGTTTGGGTCTGTCAATCTATTGCATGGAGTTGATGAAAAAGAAAGCAAGGCACAGCCTCTTTGTATTTTCTAGTCCTCTTTATGTGAAAGTTCATTTTCTTCCCCCCCCTCCCCCTCCTTTTTTTTTTTTTTGAATATTACACTTATGGGTCAGGACATTAATCAAATTGTAGGATAATGTATCTATCAATTTGCAATGCAGCCTGCTGATTTTTGAATTTTAAGGGTACTCCATGGCTAGACATCTGTTTCATGGATACTTCAAAATATGTAAAGGACCCCGTTAGACATGTCATGGCATGAGATATACTTGCGATGCTCTTGCAAAGCTGGGAGGAGTATTAGTTAGTAGTTCTATTGGATATGTACGATACTGCCTTTCTCTTTTTTTTTTTTTCCCCAATAAATGGATAATTCGAAATTAATCAGCGAGTTATTGGAGTGCTTTGTTACATGTGCACATAAATCTGCATTGATGATGGGTATAGAAGAATAAAATTGGAAAATTAAAGATCCAACCTTTCCCCCGGTCCTAAGATTTGAGAGTCGTGCTACTATTTCTTCAAGACATTTTGAACGTTGGTAATTCCATTTAATGAATAATATGCGTTTATGTGAAATAACAAGTAGAGATGCCAAAATATAACCCTAATTTGAGTACTACTTTATTTGTTTGACATGGAATTTACTTTTGTTTAGTTTTTTGTTCCCGGTTATCCATCTACACTATTCAATAAATTCCAATTATTAAAAATTTGCATTTATTCAGATAACATCGACAGCTGGTGGTGGAACTTTAACATTAGAATTTGGGGTGCTTAGCCGCTTAACAAATGATCCCAGTAAGTGTTACTATTTCCGTCAGGCTAGTTTTTTTAATTTTTTTAAGAAGTTTGGACTGGAGTTCTGTCTCTATCTTTATTTGGGGCTGACATTCCATCGCATTTTACTTTATTGATTAAAAACATAATCTAGCTGCCTGTAATGACGATGATTCATGTAGTGGATTGTCTGTAAATTATTCTCAGACAAATGTTTCAAAATAATCTCAGCATGGGGATTTCGGGATTATTGCTTTCTCTCTATTTCTCCACATTTCTGATTATGTATGCCTTTAAAATGTTTAATATGGTTTGCTTGATTGTGCATTTTGTTCTCTAAAAGGATATTTCTTCCATTGATCAGGAGCATTCTGAAAATTAAAACTTGGGTCTTTCACGCGCTTTACTGATAAGTCTAATTATCTGAAAATAAATATATGACGTACATTGAAAGTTGACACTTGAGACATTTCACTCTTAAGTGATAATCCTAATTACCTGAAAGTAAATATAAACCATATATTAATTTCTGAAGTGTATCAGTAATGTCAGCTGAGTTGGGTTCAATATAAGGTTTTCACTTAGAAAATTCCTGTGGCTGCCTGTCAGAGGCTACACTTTAACAGAAACTCTTTGCCAATTTACTGGACCTTTATTTTCATTTTTTAAGTAAGTGTGACTCTTGGCATAATGAGCCACTCTTGCTAATTATTTCAATATGGCATAAAAGATTCACTCTTTTATTTAATGCACAAATGAATAAATTTGACCACCATTCCGGTGGTCCAGTGACTTGCAGTGTCTCGTTTGGGGTCCTCCCTGACTCCCATGAAGTTAGCAAGCAGCTTTGTGGTGCGAGGGTTAGGCTATGACTCAAGTCGGCCTTTGGGAGCTTCTGCAGTTTTCCGCCGTCTTAAGTCCCACTGCTGGGCTTCCCTCGTGGGGCAGCGGTTCCACCCTGGTTGTCCCGTCAAACTGTTTTTTCAATAGCAATAAAAAAATTGAAATTTGTAGTCCTACATTCTGCAATGAAATGCTGTATTAGCTCAATGTGTCTCCAGAAGTGCTGGACTAGGGAATGAACGTGCGCCTGACCCTGTTCCTTTGGTGGATTGTTGGATAAAGGAAAGATACCACTTATAAGTTGTAAGTGCCAAAGGGGAAGTAGCCCAAGTACATGCAAAATGTTGGATGATCAACTATATGTGTTGATTTATAAACTTCACAGTTAGAACCCTAATGCCGATAGTGTAGTGTATGGATCACCATATATTATGACTGACAAGTCAGGATTTTTGTTTAAGTTGTGTATTTTTTTGTATGAAAATGCAGTTTTTGAGCAAGTTACTAAGAATGCTGTGCGTGGATTATGGGCCCGTCGATCAAAAATTAACCTAGTTGGTGCTCATATTGATGTTTTTACCGGTGAATGGACGCAAAAGGTGACATTCCCTGTAACATATTAACATTACAAATGGGCATGTGATACACTGATGATTATCCAAGTATTTATTATGCTCGCTTTGTAGTTGTATGGTATATATGAGGAATTCTACGATGAATAAAGTAAGAATTCATAAAATGTTGATAGTGTTGAAGTATCCATGTAAAAATCAATAGGCAATGAGTAGTGAGGCCCACAGTATACTATATGGATCACCTTATGGTGGTAATATTTGTCAGAGTTCTCGTGTGAATGTTCCTACTTGCACTTGCACCACTTTGAAGGATGCTAGATCCTTTATAGGTTTCTATCAACGTTCTTAATTGGATAAAATCATTGGCCTTCACCTCATTTTATCAAAGAGGGAGCTTCATGCTTTCTTTAGTCTGCGTGGTGTTCAGTCTCTTATGTTATTCATCTTAGTAACTTTACAATTGTTTGCACTTTGCATATTGCCAAAATATCATTGCTTACTTGCTTTGCTACTGTTAGTTGTTTGCTGTGAACTATTCTTGTTTTTCTTGGTAAATAACTACTGGTACTTTTACATGATTGCCAATGTATATCCTCTAGGAGAGTTAGAGGCATGCCTTGGGGAAATCAGGCACAGATTGTATAACATTGTTGGTTGGCTTATAGACCGGCTTGTAGTTCACTTTATCCTATGTTCTTTGGGAGGTTTTTATTTCTTGTTTCTATTTTTTAAAATTTTACCTATGTGTGGTTTACAAAATTATGCATATTTGTTGCTTTCAGGATGCTGGAATAGGAACAAGCATTGACTCTTTCTATGAGTATCTCCTGAAGGCAAGTTTTCTTTTTATGTTGAAGTGAAATACAGTTGCTGTGGTTAGTATATTCTTCTACAAAAACGTATAAGGTTCTACAAATTCTTATGGCCTAAGAAATTGTAGAACCTTTTACGTTTAGTGAGCATGCTTTCTAGAGAAGAAAATGATTATGGTGGCAGCATTTTGTGTTTCCTTCTTCAAAAGTCCTGGACTGGCTTTGATAAAAGAAAATTTTCAGATCTTTCCAACCAGTATAGGATGCCTACTTGGACAACTGGAAAGATTATTATTCGATCATTTCCCCTTTTCTTTTGATGAGTTGACAATCAATTTCCCCCAATAAAATATGAGTAGTGATTCCCTGCAATATTGCAGTTTTCTGTGTATGAAGTTACCTTTTGAAATGAAGTGTTCGGTTATTTTCATTCGTATAATTGAGTTTTAATTTTTTGGCACATGTAGGGTTGAAATTTTTAAAACCAAGGACAATCAATTTAAACTTCAATCATATCAAAGAAAATTTCAGGAACTAATGAAGGAACTAGAAGTTCAAAATGGCAATCATTCAAAGCTGCATATAAAGAATGCAGGATATTTTATAATCAAATGATGCAACCCCAGTACAAAATACTAAAATTTTGATGTTATTGTGCTGTCATGTGGTTCCATCTAGTTGATTGAAGGGCATCTTCCTCACATGTCTAACTCTCTTCTTTAGTTGTTTCAATCTTTCTTACCTGTTGATCAATCAGCACTGTGAAGCTTTTAGTCATGTTTTCGGTCGTCGTATTATGTGTACTAAGTTACCTGTCACTCAATTTGTTGTTTTAACATTTGTTTATAATTCTCTCTTTTAATTGCTTAATGTCTCTCTATATATAAGATATTGAATTGAATTTGGACTTTTTTCCTTCTCTGAGGTTCATTTTGATTCTACTTCAGGCATATTTATTATTTGGAGATGAAGAGTATCTGTTCATCTTCAAAGAAGCTTATGCCGCTGCCATGCACTATCTATATAATGATCCTTGGTAAAATCATTGTGGTTTTCATGTGCCACTTTGTAAATATATACACTTTTCTGTCTTGTAGTTATGTCTCCTTTTGTTCTTTTCCCCCTGATATCATGTATGAAGTTTGAAATCCTGTGAGACTGGCATGGTGATTTCTTTTATATATATGCAGGTATGTGGAGGTAAATATGAATTCTGCTGCACTTGTCTGGCCATTATTTAACAGTCTGCAGGCATTCTGGCCAGGCCTTCAGGTAATTTTAATTTTCCTTCTTCAGTTTCCTGTTGGTGTGTATTTTAGTCCATTGATACAGATTATCATATAATCAAGGGTGTATAGAGCTGAATATATCATTTGTGGAAGGTTCTAGCAGGGGATATTGATCCTGCTATTCGAACGCACACTGCCTTCTTTAGTGTCTGGAAAAGATATGGCTTCACTCCAGAGGGTTTTAATCTAGCCACGCTCACTGTTCAGGTATCTTATTTTGAATTCTGGAATCCCTCGAGTACGCGTAAATGATGGCATACCTTTCTTACTTTCCATCACTCGAAATTTTGAATTCCCGTGTCTTATTTTTGTGCCTGTGAACATGTAATGACCTCGTTTTCACATATTGGTGTTCTGAAGTATTCTACATTAGAACTAGCTTTTTAGGATCTTTCACTCAACCTCTAAGTGGTGTTAGTGAAGGTTTTGTAGTTTGGAATTGTCCATAGGCAACCTCTTAAGTTCTGCTAGTGGAAGAATAACTGGAGGGAGACAAACTAAAGAATGTGGATTGGGATGGTGGACTGTGGTGGGCAGACAATGGCGGTTTACTGGTGGTTGTGACGGTGATGATTATAGATGATGGATTGGTGAGAAGGAAGACGTGTTAAAATATATTTTATTATTTGTATTTTTTCAACATTTAAATTTGTGCACTGGGTTATTAATACTATCTTAATTTTATCATCTTATAAATATTTTTTGCAAACAATTCCGGCATTGCAGTTAAGTTTAATTTCAAAAATGTTGAGGAGGTCCTTATACTAGTCAAAACTCAAAAGTTTAGGGGGCTTTAGTACATAGAAGAATTTGGTTTGGCCAAATTCGCATTAGAAGTCATATAAATGAGCCAGAAACCTTGAAGAAGTAGAGGTTTGGAAACTATTAGAGATGAGTAATGGACTCGTATTTAATGAAGATAATTTATTTTTGAGTGGGTTTCTATGTTGGAGGTAGATGGAAGGAAAATTAAGCTCAGTGGTCCCTAAAGGCACTGGGACAGTATGCCACACTTGGGCCTCACCAGAACCTTATTTTGGGAAGAGATGTAGGCAAGTAGAAACTGATATGAGGTCTTTTAAATTTGTTAGTTGTTTGCTGAATGCATCAAAGGCGGTAGACTGTCGTGCACAAGAATTTTCAGCTGATGTAATGCCTGCAATCCTGTGTAGTGTGTTATTGATGAAGGAACCCACCCTTCCAATCAGTAAGATATGCTTATAGAAATTGCTAACTTACATGAGGGCAGCAACACTGATGTTATGGACTACTGAAGGCAGTTAGGAATGGAAAAATCAGTTGCGTGCCTCTCAGTTTATATGATGTAGATTATTTTAATTCTTTTAAGCTACTATAGGTTAATCTATTTTAGAATGTATGAATCAAATAAGATGGAAACTAAAGAAATATATACATGATATAATTTTTGATATGAGACTTGTGCCTCTTCCTTGCCTGTCCCTTTTTTGTTGGGTAAACATATATTTATCTAACTGAAGAAATATATGTTTAAAATCTATTTGTCTCCTTTCTAAAGTCCACAAGTACATTAGTGTGTCTACATTTCCTGAATTACTTTTCTTTTTTGTTTTGGCTTCCCTTCTTGGTAACTCTTCTTACTGTCTTCAGCATGGGCAGAAAAGCTACCCACTGCGTCCTGAATTAATAGAGAGCACATATTGGCTGTACAAAGCTACGAGGAATCCTAGGTTTGCTCCTTGTCTTAACACAGAATTACTGTCTGGTGTCCTTCCCCTTTCCCTTCTTCTAGCTGGCAGTTTCTTATTTAGTGTCTAAATATTGGCAATCTATCATTTGGTGAGAACAGAGATTGCAGTGTACCTTTTTATTAGCTTGTATCTTGGGATTAGCATAACAGTAGAAGATATAGTCTTCCTTACTTTGGATTATGTTTTTGAACTATCAATAAACAGCAACCCACTCAAAACTCTTTGATAAGGCAGGCACGGAATACTCATAGTTATTATTTTGTTTGTTGAAATGACCATCAAAGGTTTTGTATTTATTCTTTGCAAAATTTAGCCATCAAAAGAGATATCTGACACATCCATTGGAAACTTTGTACATTTATAATTTCCCCTGTTCATACTGAACAGTTTGGTTATGGCTGGTTAGATGTCAGTCTCTTCTTTCTGCATTTACCTCTCCTTCGTACATTTAGTGAAATAAAGTTGAACATCAGGGGTAAAGAATTTTTTGGCAATGGTTGCCAATATGGAACAGAGGTTCATTATTTGAGGGATTCTAAAGATACCTAGCTGACTTCCTATTTTCAGTTCTTTGGTCAACTATATTATTATTATTTGCATGATAAAAAACTGTCTACTTGTTAAATTTGCGCCGCCTTAACTTACCTGCAATCTGACGCCTTTTCTAAAATGCTTGATGTAGATATCTTGATGCTGGACGGGACATGCTTGCTAGCTTGCAATATGGGGCCCGATGCACTTGTGGATATTGTCATATATCAGACGTGGAGTTTCACACACAGGAAGACCATATGGAAAGCTTCTTCTTAGCGGAAACAGTAAGGCTAATGTTATTTAATGAAATAATCTTCTGTGATCTTCCAATTTGGTTTTCTTTTATGGTTAGGGGTTTATTCCTTTCCCAAATAGCACTCTTGAAATAGAACTAAAGTTTCAATTTGGGTCTTGCTGGATTATTTGAAGTGTGGAATTGAGACCACCGTGCAGAGTATCTTTGTTAAAAGATCTTTTGGGCTTAAGTACTTTGTATGATCTTGACCCTCCAATTTATTATATTGTATGTTATGATCAATGGTGAAAAGGAGTTCTGGTACTCATCATGAAGAAGATTGTATATGACTAAGGACTATGGGCACACATCAACTTCTTCATGGAAAATTTCCTTTCCACTCCTTAGTGGTGATTAACAACTCCTTACATCTGTGCCTTACTGTATTTGCATAGAATGGAGGACATTGTCTTCCCATCTTACTAAATGCTTCGGTAATGGTAATGGGTTCTCAGTATATAGTTTCTCTTTGTCTCATTTGTTTTAACCATCATCTGTTAGTCCATTCATTAGCAGTCTACTAATATTGTGTCTACTTATTTAGGTTAAATATTTATGGCTTCTTTTTGATTTGGCGGTGGGTCCAGATAACCTCGTTGAGAATGGCCCATACAAGTAAGTTCCTTGTAGTCTTTAGTTTCAAAACTAGTGTGGTTTGGTTTTTTTATAAACTACACAAAAAAAAAAAAACACAAATGTCTTCTATTCACCCTGTGAAAAATCTCTCTTTACAGGTACATCTTCAGCACTGAAGGTCATTTGTTGCCTGCAACTCCACAAATATCTCTAGTTCGTGACCATTGTTTGTATTTTGGGTCATACTGTCGTAATAGTAATCGGAGACAGGAATCCCATACTCTGGACATTTCACCCGATTTTCAGGAAACAAATGGCAGCAGATTTTATGCAAGTCCTGGTGTTTCCAGTTTTTTATCACACTCCAGTTTTCATAAGTCCACTTCTGCCTCAGGATTGATTAAGGTCAGTATTCATTATTTCAAGTTTGAAGCTAGAATAGATGCCATCTTTGTATTTGATTGTGTTTCAGCACCACTTTTTCTTTTACCATCTTTAGATGATTTTCAATCAAACTGTTTTTCATGTTATTGGATTTGTGGTTCTGTTATTAGTTCAGATACGAATCTCAAAGGATTGATATGTTGTTCCTTAGTCATGGAAACATCTTTTAATACTGTATACTGCATACATATTTTGCTCAAGTCTCCATTTTGAATCAGAATGGTATGGGAATGTGATTTCATTATATACTGAGATATGTCATGTGTGCCGTAGGGACTCTGCCCAGGACTAACTCATGGGCAAAAGTTTGGTTTATCATATGTGGCTTCAACTGATACACCTCTTGAGGATGAGTCTTCAAATCAAAGAGAGACTACTATTACTCAAAGTCATGCAGTGGTGGTGGTTTCGAGCCCAGATGCTGACCATTCACAGTTGGATGCCCAGAATGATCATGTCACTGATCAGGAACCAAGGGAGAATCAGGGAGCAACTCACCAAGATACTAAAAGCGACTTGGGCTCGATAGATCTTGCTGAAGAGAGATGAAAAGGAAGTTTTTGGATGATGAATGACTATTGGGAAGAAGATTCAGGCTTTCAACTAGAAGTCCGCAATGAAGCAGGTTTCTCCAAGTTTTTCATTTGTGATCAGAGCTTCCAGCTATTTGATTCGGTGCCTGTGAACTCGGAGCTTCTGGATGAAAATTTGAACAGGAAGAACAATAACATCTGTATGATGTCTCGGTCACTTATCATGCTGCTTCCGTAAGGTGGAGATAAAGATTACCAGCATTTGGTCATCTTTCATGTCTGTATTTTTAATTTTATTTGTGGGTTTTAAAGATGTGTGTTAGGGGAGGGTTCATCAAGTGGATATAAGTGGGATTATAGATACTCGATGGCTCAGAACATTCATAAGAGATAGCAAAATACAACTTTCTCATGATGTGAAATTAGGTTAGTGGTCGAAGAAAGAAATATACCCTTTGAACAAATTACACACAAGTTTTGCTGACAGTTCGGGTAGATGTCAATATAGATCTTTCTGATTCAGTTAGATGCAATTCTTTGAATTGCAGCTGACTTAATTTCGAAGTTCTGTTGGGTATGAAGGTTGACGTTTGTCGGTATTAACGCGTTGTGATTTTCTTTTTGGATTTGTTTATTTTGTTTTTGTTTTCTCTCTATGAAGGAGGTTTTAAGTTCCTTGTTTTGGAAAGTGCTGGAGAGGTTGAATATCAGCATTGGTTTCTGGTGAGAGGATTGAGAAGTTGCTAATGCCTGCTAGACCATGTAATGTTGTGCAAGTGGACTTGAGTTGGATCTGTGTTAATGTATCTTCGTTTATATTTTTTTCAATGGTAGATCACCCGGTGTGCATTGGTGAAGGACGGACTTGCATGTTTCGGATTTACTTGAATTCAGAACGGTAATTAAAATAAATATATATTGAAAAGAATCTAACCCATATCAACATATGGGCTTATAATAGTGCCCATAGCAATGCCGAGCAAGACCTTGAAGCAATGCCATCCAATATCTGTGGTTAATTTGGTGTGGGATCCAATACATAGTGTTGCACACCTATGATGGGTTGAGAAGAGGAAATGATAGGCAAGATTATTCTCATTTTAAAGGGACTGATTCTTGAATTTAAAATAACAACTCATGTTCTATATGAGTATGATTGTCAATCTCGGCCNATTATTCTCATTTTAAAGGGACTGATTCTTGAATTTAAAATAACAACTCATGTTCCATATGAGTATGATTGTCAATCTCGGCCTAAGATAAGAGCTCAAAAGTTTAGTCTGTTAGAGCAAGCCTTCCAATGTACTATTCACTACTTATTATGACGTAGTTGATTGAGATTCAAAGAGACTTCTAACGTAACTAGAGTTATTGGTCCGGACCAACATATGGGATAATAAGACAAGTTGATTGGTGGCTGAGGATTGAAATTATGTGGATTTCCTTTATTGGACACCTTGACAAGGTCTCGAAGAAGGGTTCAGAGAAGAAAGGGAGGATCCCAGGAAGGAGCTTGCTAGGGGCATCGCGGATATGGCTCTCTCGCTGTCATGGTCCTTAGGTGACTAGTTGTGGATATTGACCTTGGGAGCCCCTTTTTGCCTTAGTTATCGCATCCCTCCTCAGGGCCACGTCCAAGATGTGTTCGAGAAAATGTCACATCCGCTTAATTTATGTTTAAACATGTAATACACAGCAAGTGATTACTGGTATCGTCGCAGTTGAGGCGGTTACAAGCCAATACAGGTGTCAGAGGGCCGTGGTTAACAGTTTGACCTACTCAGACACTATTTAATAAATACCTGTACTACTTGTCTACTGCAAGACATTCATGACTATCCTAGTGAGACTATTTACTCCCTCCACCAAATTCTCGTCATCCCGTCCACTTATCCTATTCATCCCTTTGAGTATCCTTGTCATAAACTCGTGCATCAACCTCTGCTAACCACCCACCTACATGTCGAGAAAATTTCTTATCTAATTATCGAGTTGTGTTATAAATTATAAACCTTAACAAAATGCACCTAAAACTTTATATTAAGTATCCAGTCTAGGCAGAGAAGTCAAACTCCCAAAAGACAAGGGGTATGCAGGCTGAGAGAGTTATTATATTTAACTTGGTGAAGTTGGTACAGAGCTATGAACTAGTTTTTGGACCCAGGAATCATTCCATATCTTATTTCTGAATTACCGATATGCTTCTGTTTGTTGTAGAGAAGACAGATTCATATGATAAAAGGAATCTTGTTTTTTGGCCGTAGATCTTGTTTTGAATTATTTGTAGTCAATGTCCAGGAAAATAGTAAAGTAAATTATATTTTACTCTCCTGAATTGTTACCCTTGTTTCACTTTACATCTTTAATTATAAAATTTCTCACATTACACCATAAAATATCAATTTTATTTTATATCATTCCAATAGATACTGATAAACTTCAAAAGTTTTCAAAAGAGGGAGAAAACCCTAATATCATTTTATTTTACATGTTTTGCAACCAAATGATTGCTATGAAGAAAAAAAAAGTCGGCCATAGAAAAAAAAATTGAAGCTTGGGAAGGGTAAAGTCATAGATATGTATTTTTTTCTTGATTTTGACTTGTACATGTGTAATAGACAGTTGTTTATTGATAGTATAGATCACTCACATACACATTTATAGTAAAAAAATTGACATTCGTTATCAATTAAAGTGATATGAAATAAAATTGATACTTTATGGTGCAATATGAGAATTTTTATAGTTGAGAGTGTAAAGTGAAACAAGAGTAATAATTTAAGGGAGTAAAGTATAATTTACCCAAAATAATAATACAAAGTAAAAAAAAAAATCAATCTTTACATGTGTCACTTTAATGGATAACTTAAGTTGTAATAGAGACGACTCGTAAATTGAGACGACTTGTAAATTGAGACGGTTTAACTTTAAATCTTGGTAACTCTTTAAGAGCAGGTCAAGAAGGATATATCTCTCATAAATATCTTAATTTTTGCGTGAATAATTAATTTTTGATTGAACCAGTGAGAGAATTAATTAGGGTAGTTCAAAAACTCTCACCGTTGAAAAAAAAAAAAAAAAATAGGTGAATAGAGATTAAGGGGGTGAGGGTTGCAGAATAACGTGGTTTAACTTTCTGTCTAATTGTTTCCCAAAAGCCTAAATAAATATACTATTTACCTCGTAAACCTCATTTTAACATGGGCTTAGCTACTAATGTTCTTCCTTATGGGGACAGCTTGACTGGGCCCCACGTCATGGCCGTGGGTTCAAACCCCCTCCCCTAGCTGAGGAAACAATAGAGAGGTAATGTTCAGTGAATCTGTAACGTGTTAATCTGACATATCGTCTAGTACTTTGAATGGTTTTGAAAATAAATGACTGAATTCATTGGATAAGTAGCAAAAAAAAAAAAAACAAAATTAAATGACTGAATGCATTGGAGAAGTTTGGAACGACACAAAAATATTATATTTTTTATTCTTAAATTATAGCTCTGATCTCACTTTACTCTTTTGATTATTGGGTTTTTGAATATTGCAACCTCAAGTAGTTGAACTGGTTTCATATCAATCTACAGCCAAAAATGAGATTAGCGTCGCTGTCCCCGCTAATAGACCCTAAAATCGTAAGTTTAAATCTCGTCGTTCTTGTAAAAGTGTTAGACCAAGAGTTTTCAACAATATCTTAGTGTCATTAGATTTTGAAAACAAAATCATAAAGTTTGGGAAAATAAAGTTACATGAGTTTTCTATTCAATTTACAATGGATGCCTAGAACAGTTTTGGGTCTATGTGAGACACAAGGCATTGTTGATAGGGTTGTCAACCGTGTCGACTAAAATAGGTTTAAATCGGATTTTAATAGATTCGTTTTGAAAAACACTCAACCCAATACTCAATTTGTTTATTAATTCGTATATAACAAGTTGTTTAATAATATCGGATACGTATCGTGTATGAACTGTCTATAACTGTTTTATAAACGAACCATGTCGTGTATTTCTTTTGATTGACTTTACATATATCTGATTCGTTTATTAATTATGTCGTGTCAGACCCACACGTTTATAAAATGGGTATCTTAAAGAAGACTCAAACCCTCTAATTTCGTGTCGTATTTGTGCCATATTAATTAATAAATCGTATCATATTTTAATATATAAATTTTTGAAGTTGGAATTATTAATAAATTCTTCCTTTTTCAGCAAAAATATAATGACATAATCACATACTTTTGCTCGTAGAGCACGGGGCTCCAAAATGATCATCCTTCACAAGAATATCTTTTTAAAGAAATGATATCACAAAGCACAAAATATTGGTGGTTTGCTCGATAAGATTATCTTAATCATAGATTAATTTTGAAGATGCCGCATGCTTACCAACTGGCTAACATGATGGTGAGGAAGACTTTGGGTGGCCCTACCGTCAAATGCCACGTACGCATTCAAAAAGACATTCAATCTAAAAATATCACAACTACTCATATCCCCACAAACATGAAGCAACACAAAATGGAATCTCTCTCTCTAAAAAATTTGGTTAATCTTTAAGATATTTGGTTCAATAGTCACAGCAACCTGGCAAATACCAATTTTTTTTTTTGTACTGGGGTCAGGTAGGAGTTATAAACGAGCTGAACCAACGAGTTCAAACTCGGGTATGACAAGCTTGTATTTTAAAATGAACCTAAAAAAATGCTTAAGTTCTGTTCGTTAAAAAAAAACAAATTCAAGTTGAGTCCGAGTAATTCGACTATTTTGCATATAAATGAACCGAACCCGAGTAGTTCAATTATTTTACATATAAACGAACTGAACTTGAGTAGTTCGATTATTTTATATATAAACGAATTGAACCTGAGTAGCTTGGATCGTTTACTACCCCTTTAGGTCAGTTTATGCGCAATTCAGTCAATTTTGATTGATCAAAAACATATTATCCACGCAGAGATTAGAGAATTCATAAACAATAAATCACTGGTAAATTGGTCCCAGCAAAATTACCAAGTTTCAACCTTAGACATCTATCTTGGTGTCCTAGCTTGTACCATTGTGAGCACCATTGCTCACCAATTTTGACTATTGGACCATGACAACTCCTATTTGGCCTGGCCTGTGCAGTTTGGTTCCCTGAGGGTCAGTTTCTTATTAAAGAGGAAAACCTAAAATATTGATCACGGTATATAGAAATTTAGATAGAGGTTTAGAAATAGTGTTTCTTTCCTTAATTGATTCAATGTAGAAGCCTTCTTATTTATAGAAGGAGAGATGTAACAAATTCTACAAATATGTAGTTATAGTTGGACTAAATTCAAATTCTAGGATCTTATCTTCTGAGCTGAAGACTTCCTCTCCTCGTATTCTGGGGAAGTAGTTTCCTTTGTATGGACTGATTCAACGCACCCCCGCAATTGAGTGGGTAACTCATGCACACAAAGATTACTTCGAAGATGAGTAAACCGTTTTCCTGCTAACGGCTTGGTCAAGATATCAACTAATTGATCTTTGGATGATATAAAGCAAACATGTAACTGTTTTCTGAGAACCTGATCGCGAACATGGTGGAAGCTTATCTAAATGTGCTTTGTTTGCGCGTGAAACACTGGACTAGAAGAGAGGTAAGTGGCCCCAATATTATCACACCAGAGGTTTGGAGGCTGAGATAAAGGCATATGCAGATTGGTTAAAATAGCTTGCAACCATTGAACTTTTGCAGCAGCGTTAGACAAGGCTTTGTATTCAGATTCAGTGCTGCTTCTTGCGACTGTATTTGCTGTTTACAACTCCAACTAATGAGGTTTTTGCCATGAAAGATGCAATAAGCACCTACGGTGTGACGAT